GATTCAGATGGCGCAAAATCGGACTAAGTGGAAAAGCATGCGAGAGGCCTATGTTCAGCAGTGGACGTTAGAGGCTAGTTGATGATGATGATGACATATTTATTTAATACAAGTAGCTTTGTCGTAACTTCTTATGATATTTTTCGTACGCCATTGGAAGACCTACAATAGCAATGAACCATCACTATTACTTCCAAGAATTTACTGCCTAGATTTCTGGATTCTGACTATAAATGTAAACATTAAACAAAATGTCAAGATCGTCACCAACTGACGTCACTTTGACGTTTAATAGCCCCGCCCACATCTGCGATCTTCGCTTGTATATATCATGCAGAAACCCCTAGGTGGGAGGGAGTTACTAAGAACTGTATAATTTTACCTTGACGTAAAAACGTAAATTACAAAATCATTCATATTGTCCTTATCAGAACCATATACAGACGCAGCGGATGAGACAACAATAGCCGACGGATTTGCCGGGTACATAATTATTCTAAAGTGAAGAATTATAAATAGACGCAATTTTCCCCAGAAATATGTAAAACTAAGGAAAGTAAAAATTACTCAAAACTTTAAAAAATACACCTATGAATCTAAATAAAGTAAAATCGAAAAATAATATGAACTAAATTATAATGAGACGGAACACATAATAAATAAAAAATAAAAGGTACTAATAAAGAAAGCTTGTTTATAGAAATCTATTAAATAAAATATTTTGTTCATTTTATACCCTTTGTGAATACATAATTGGAGTTTATAACTCACTCTCTCTAACTCTCTTTTTCAATTCCAGATAAAATATAATAGAGTATAAAAAGACAACATATTTATCTCCAAAAAGTCAATTATATTGTTGTTTTACGAGTCGAAAATAAACATTGGGCTGGAACTGAAATAAACGAGGGAGGTGTGACATTTTTCATTCATGCTAATACTAATCGATGATGCATAGTGAACGGAAGAGAGTGAGAGGATTTTATTAGTATAAAGTATTATTTATGTTGGATTAAACATGAATTCGGATTAATGTCGGATCAATTGTGGAAACAACGATGTGTACAATTTTTAAACGGCTACCATATACATTTTGTGTTTCACGCCGGAGATTTATCGATAATGATAACAAACTGATAGAGGACAATGCCACAAAACATTTAAATCCCATGTTAAAAAAAAACACTCAGAACAGGTACACAGAATTATAGAGACACAATTTGTCTCTAATTTATCATTTAATGATAAAAATTGTCTCTGCACCATATGGTACACTTTTTTATTTTTACTTTTATAAAAAAAAACGTTTTTTTTATAAATAGTTCTTAATGGTATAAAACCTAGAATACAATTATCACACATTAGATTTTTTTCAGTTATATACGCGGTTTGTCAAAAGGTATGGATTTTTTGTAAGAGTTAGCAATATCTGCAATTCGTATTTTTTTACAAACCGCGTATATAACTGAAAATATTTAATATTTCGACCTCTGTATAGAATAACGTTGTAACTAAACATTTTTGGCGAATTTGGGTTACAGTTTTTTATGCTATATTTGTCAATATCATCGGTGTCGCTGTCGTTGCATAGATAGACTTAAAGAGGTGACCTTCTGGCCTATTCCGCTGCAACCTCTTCAGATCTATTGTGGTCTAGTGAAATTGGACTGATTCTAGATAACATTCTCTAGCCCGCCCCTTTTTATAAAGTCTAATAGCTTCGAGACTGTACCTTCCATGTAGCTATTTGTCGGTGGATTTTTGTCTCCTAATGCAAAGAACCACACATTTGCTAGACTGTCATACTGACATAAAATGTGCTCTGCTGTTTCTTCTTTGAGGTGACAGAATCTGCACAGGTCATCATCTGATAATCCCATCAAGTGCCATCCCATCCAATCAATTCCATCAAGTAATATCTTTCAAGTGCCTATTCAGCTTACGGTGCCCTGTTGCAAGACCTACTATGGCTTAGACTGTTTTCCTGTCTTTGCGTATTAGGTCTGCCGTAAATTTTGATTGCCCCAGCCCTGTAGTAGAATACATATAAGTTAATGGGAAGAGTGGATCAATTTGATCAACGGTTAGAATCGTACAATATATCATGGAAAATTAGTAACGGGTAGTGGATTTTGTATAAGGAGACCTTGAAACAAAGCAATCCAAGAAAACACTGATTAGTCATCTAAAATTCAGAAACCTGTAAGCGACTCAAATAATAGGAACATTTACTTACAAAAAAAGCAAGGGCCAGTTATATTAGGTGTAGTAATTCCCAAACTAGAACATTATCCAAAAACTACAAGCTGATGAACAAGAGCATGAAGATATTAAGAAGGAAATTGACGAACAGCAGAAAAGAAATCATCAGACTTAAGGGAAATAATGGCAAACTAACGTCCAACAGAGACGAAATGCTAGAAATAGTAGAAGACTTCTATAAAACACTATACACAAAATAAATTGGACTTAAACTCGACAGAACATACAGAACAAAAAATTATGAATCAAGGTTCAGAAGATATTCCCGACATATCAACGGCTGAAATTTACCATGCTCTAAAGAAAATGAAAAAAAAACAAAGCACCAGGAGAAGATGGAGTAGTGGCGGATGCGCTAAAAATCGGAGGCTCTGCTCTCATCAGGACAATCAAGCAGCTCTTCAATATATGCTTAGAAAACCAAGCAATACCAGCTGAATGGAATAATTCTATAACGCTCCTCATGCATAAGAAAGGAGATCAAACAGACCTCGAAAACTATAGCCATCAGTCTTCTAAGTCACCTGTATAAATTATTTGCTCGAATTATCACTGCCAGAATTGAGAACAAACTAGAAACATGCCAACCAAGAGAACAGGCAGGTTTCCGCCCTGGGTATGGTACAAATGACCATCTAACTTGTCTAAAGGCCCTAATTGAAAAAACTATAGAGTACAACCGGCCACTAGTTCTAGTATTTGTTGACTATAAAAAAGCCTTTGACACTATCGAGATGGTAGCTATCTTAAGAGCTTTGAGAGATTGTAGAATCGACTACCGATATACCAGCATTATTCAACATATATATGCAAATGCCACAACAGCAATAAACCTCCACACCCCTACTCAAAAAATAAAACTAAAAAGGGGAGTTAGACAAGGAGACAACATGTCACCAAAACTATTCAATGCCGTAATGCAGCATGCATTCCAGATGTTAGAATGGGAAAACAGAGGTTTGAGTGTCGATGGCGAAAGGCTGAACCACCTACGATTTGCAGATGACATAGTTCTAATAACCGACGACTTAAAGGAGGCCAACGAAATGCTACAAGATTTACAACGAGTCTCCCAAAAAGTAGGGCTGGAAATAAACTTTGCGAAAACTAAAATGATGACCAACTTAGTACCTAGTGGACCATTGAAACTAGAAAACTGGCATATTGAAACGGTTGACAAATACATATATCTGGGCCACGAAATACAAATAAGTAGAGACAACCAAACATGCGAATTATCTAGAAGAATAGCTTTAGGATGGGCAGCCTATGGCAAGCTAAAAGACGTGTTTAAGGAAAACATCCCAATAAAGCTAAAGAGAAAAGCATTTAACCAGTGCGTACTTCCGGTGCTCACTTATGGAGCTGAAACACTGACATTGACAAAGCATCAATAAAAAAGTTACAAGTAGCACAACGAAAAATGGAAAGATCTATGCTTGGCGTAACTTTGAGAGACCGAATACGAAATAATGAGATACGGCGAAGAACTGGAGTGGAAGACGTCATAAAACGGATTACGAAGTTGAAGTGGAAATGGTCAGGACACGTCGCAAGACAGAGAGACAACAGATGGACAAAGAAGATTTTAGAATGGCGGCCAAGGGCAGACAAGCGAAATCGTGGAAGACCACCTACCAGATGGACGGACGACATTAAAAGAATAGTGACAAACTGGATCGCAGCTGCACAGGACAGAGAAGAGTGGAGACATCTTGAGGAGGCCTATGTTCGACAGTGGACAAATTTGGCTATGTGATGATGATGATGACAAGCTGACGCAGATACAGGTTTTGCGATAGTAATGGATCGCTAAAACAAATCAACATTCAACGTGCAAAAGTTGCGTTGTGTTTAAATTGTTTTAGGCTATTTCATAACCGATGATAGTTCTATGTTATAAAATGTATCTCACATATGTATGTGTACATCGGAACCATCTTTATTAATACAATACATTTTTAATAGTACAGTTATTAGTACGAAAAAAAAAGCTTGGCAACTTCTAGTAAAAACCTTTCTAAGAAGTTAAATACAGCATATTCATTCCATCTAGGGGTACACAAACCAAAATATGATGATCTATCTAGTTTGTGTCGAAGACAAAGCATTTTTTTCACTTCCCATGATTATTTTAAAAATCTCCCAGTTGATTGGAAAAATACAATGAATCAAGAAGGCAATATTGATATAAAATAAATATATTAATTTTTAGATTTAATTCGATTTTTTATTTAGTTTGTAAAATTGCAATTTAAAAACTGTCTACTGTTAATAATCCTTAACCTACAATAAGCAATTATTTGAAATACATATTAACCTTTCCAATAAGAAGGAGTTGTAAGTGCAGTTACCAGATTATTCGATGAAACATGAAATTTGTATTAAAAACTGTAACTGACACAGTTCAAAAAGGTATCCTCTAATTAAAAATAGTAGGGCCTATTTTTATTATTTCTAAAGAATATCTTAAATGCTGGTTACAACGTTATTCCTTGCGGGGGTCATTATTTTTTCATATAAATAAAAATAAAAAAAGTTTCTCATATGATGCAGACTTACTTGAACACATTGTATATTTATATACATCTTGCATGTATGGTTAGTTTTGGGTACTATCTTTCTATAGGACAAGGATTTTAATAAATTACAATCACTTTTATTGTTACTAATTACTTTACGAATTTTTTTGGTATATTTTAATTGTTTTATTAAAGTTTTGTTTTTTTCTGTTGCAGAACAAAATGATCCCTGCAGGGATAAAGAGTGCCTATTTGGTTCTCGTTGCACTGTCAATCCAGATGGCCGTAACGCAACCTGCATCTGTCCAGATAAATGTCCTAATTACGGTGATCATACAACTTCTCGCCCTGTCTGCGGTTCCGATGGCGTCAACTATGGAAACCAATGTGAATTGCAACGTGCTGCTTGCTCGTCTCAGACCAACATCACAATTAAGTTTTATGGAAAATGCGGTAAGTTCAAAACAAGATATATATTAGCAACTTTAAGGATAATAATACTCAAACATACCAATATATTTTCCAATGAGTTCTGATCCGTTTTATTTTCGTTTTGTTTTGGGTTAGTAATACCATATCTGTTTTTAGTTTATTAACTTCTAATATTATCTCTGGCATACCTTCTGGACTTCCGTGAATGTTACATGTACTTAAGGTCATATTTCTTTTAATAGCATTTTTCCGTTTTTCGTTTAATCTGTCAGATTTTCCTAGGTATCGTCTAGATTTTTTGGTAATCTAAGATTTTTCCAAGTGATGAAGTACCAGTCCATCGTCTTAAACTCCAACCTAGAGGAGCATGTGATTTATGATAAGAGTTTTTTCTCCTAGCCTTTGATAACCTAGAATCGATACTAACAAGGCAGCAGCAGATTCGCCTGTACCCTAGGTAGAGGTACTCACAGGGTTCTATCATCCGGACCAGATAAACCCTGGTATTTTAGACAGGTGTTACTCTTCTACAAATGCGATGGTCAGATGACCTGAAGAAACACGCCCGGTCCAAATGGATGCAAATTGCCCAAGATAGAGAAGCATGGAAGAAGGAGGAGGAGGCCTATATCCAAGGATGGATGTTTAGGGCTGTATAGATAGATGGATAGATAGTTACTCTTCTATCACTCCGTCTGCCTTACTTCTTGAATATTAAGGTTCTAGGCTTGTGTCTGACAAAACGAAGATAATACAAAAAATTGATATTCTTCTACCAATTTAGTAATCTTTGGCTTTTATCAGCAGTAATCTTAAACTGCCTCGATTGGCTATTATTACAATCGGTTTTTTTTCTTAATAAATTGGATATATCACTGGATAAGCCGCAGGGATCTTTTTTGGAAACAAGAATTGTAGGTAGACGCTTTTGAATTTAAATTTCAATTCATCATTTGTAGTCACTTCTATCAGTTTCTCTTGTAACTGTGGATATTTGGTTGTGTTTCTAATTGAAAAGGATCCAAATCCAATAAGGTGTATTAATTTTTATAATATTTAAATCGTTGACTAAAATCTACATGTTTATTTAAGTTTTGCAAACTCTAATCAGTATCAATAATACAAAAAGAAAAAGTCGAACACAAATAGAAAGAGAAGAATGTAAAAGGCTTAGAAATGCAGGAGAGAGCTATATTACAGAAAAAGGTAAAACTAAACCCAAAAGGTTATCGAAAAATTTATTACCTTGTAGACTAAAATTTGCTGAAAGGTTCAGTGAAACCGAAACTTGCAAAGAATGTTCCTGTAGAATATTAGGGGAGACTAAAGGATTTATCAATGTACTTGTCCAGAAGAAGAAATTTTTGTTTAACCGGAATAACAGAATCCGATCAAAGGGGTGTAGGTCCTCCTGTAAATAAAAAAAGTATAGGCTATATAACTTCAGTCAAAAATCATATTCTATCTTTTCCTAGCTACGAAAGCCATTAGGTACTGTAGAAAATCCACAAATAAAAAATATTTAGCTCCTGATCTTTCTGTAGCAAAAATATATAGGTTATATAAAGAAACTTGCTTACAGCTGGTTTCTTTAAAACTGTACTCAAATTGTTTTCACGACTTAAAACTGTCTTTTAAAAAACTATCAAAAGACACGTGTGATATGATAACGATGCAGATGAAGTTAGCTGAGGAAAATGGAGATTTAAGAATTCAATTAGCTGAGCATCATTTATAGGCTGAAAAGGCTTATTCTGCAAAACGCGCCAGTAAAGCAAGAGCTCAAGAAGATTCCTCATTTCGGGCTTATGCATTTGACCTCCAACAGTGTCTACGCACACCACTTTTACAAAACTCAATTGCCTTTTACAAGAGGCAGCTTTGGACCTTTAATTTAATGGTTCACGACTTGGCAACGGATGAAGCTACGTGTTACATGTGGGATGAAACAATTGGATTACGTGGTGCAAATCAAATCGCATCCTGTCTGTGGCACTTTTGGTTAAATTTTCTTCCACCAGTTGTCAAAGAAATTACATTCTTTTCAGATACTTGAGGTGGGCAGAATAAAAATAACATTAAAATAACATAAATATTTACCAATAAGCAAAGAAAAGAAAAAGATCTACTGGATATTTTGCATCTAATAGATCCTTTGTTCCACGACTTCTATTCAAATAATTATAAAAACAACTGAAACCAAATCAACAGATCCCGATATTGACGAAAGAGATCCAGATGATGTCAATAATAACAATGCAGATGAAGAGAGAAGAATAATAACAAAAATAATTCTTGTTTTTGAATTTTATTTGTATGTGACAAAGCAGATTGTTTTTTTTATTTTAATCACAATTTATTTTATGTTTCGTTTCTGTTAGTTTCTGAAATAAACATTCCAAACCGAAGGACATGTATTATTTCTCTATAAAGTTAATCTATTTCATCAGATTTATTAGAATCAGAGTAAGTTGCTTATGGTGAATAAGTTGACAAGTACTAGGTGAACAATGTAACAAGTGTGATTTTTATAAAATAACAAAAGGAAATGCCACTTTTTTTCAAGATTTGGAAAAATCGACTAAAATTACTTAGAAATATGCTTTATTGTCACTGAAAATTATTGAACAATTTTATGGACAAAGCTAAAAAATAAATCAGTCAAATAATACAAAAAGTATAAAACAAAACCAAATATAGTAAAAAACAGAATAACACAATTTTAAATTAGTAAAATTGTTATATAACCTACATAATTTGTACAGACAACAACAAATGAGACAAATTGTAGCCACTGCTTGAGACACCCAAATGTAATTATAAACAATACTAATTTTGTTTCTTTGTTATACATTAAGAAACTCGTCAACTGAATAATATGGTCTTTCTGAGAGATAGATTTTTGTCACCTTACGAAACTTAATGAAGGATGTTGCGGATTTAATTTCTCTTGGAAGGTGATTATAAAGTTTCTTTGCACGATATAGAATAGAATTCTTTACTAGCTGAGTGGACGGGATCGGCAAATAAACGTTACAATCCGAATTTCTAATGGAGTAGCCATGGTCAGGTCTATCGGGAAAAATGTTTAGATGCTTTCGAATCAAACAAACCGTTTCCAAAATAAATAAAGAGGGAAGCGTCAAAATTCCGTGATTTTTGAAGTAGGTCTTGCAATGAGTTGTTTGTTTGAGACCAAATAGATAACGGATTGCTCTTTTTTGCAACTTAAAAATAGTATCAAATTGGGCCGCTGTACTAGAACCCCAAAATGGAAGCCCATATCGAAGATGGGACTCGAACAATGAGAAATATGCCATTTTGGCAGAAGATAAATTTAGTTCCTTCGAAACAGATCTTATTGCAAAGCAAGCTGAGGCTAGTTTCTTCCTTAAGGAGTCAGTATGCAAGGACCATTTGAGATCACTGTCAATGAGAATACCTAGAAATTTCACGGAATTTACGATATTGATTTGGCTCTCATTCAAAAGCAAGGGTTGCATGACTCCTTTATAAGATAATGCTACAGTCTTATCCACGTTAAAGCTAAGTAAGTTGGAGTCTGACCAAGCCTTGATTATAAGTAAATCAGCGGTTATAATTGAATGAAGCGTTGAAATATCAGAGCTGCTCCAAGTAATACTGGTATCATCAGCAAATAGAAAAATTTTCCCTTTAATTTTCAAGTAAGTGATGTCATTAATGAAAAGTAAAAAAGAATGGGACCTAATACTGAACCTTGCGGTACTCCACACTCAATATCTTTACAACTAGAGTCGGTGTCATTTATTCTAACCAATTGTTTCCTACCTACCAAGTAAGTTTTGAACCAGTTCAAAGACACACCCCGAATTCCATAGAAAGTTAATTTTTTTAATAGAATGTCGTGATTTACGCAGTCAAAGGCTTTGGAATAGTCGCAGAAAACGGTGGCGGAGGAGAGGTTACTGTTTAGTGATAGATATACATCATGTAACACAGAAAATATGGCATCACTAGTGCATTTATTAGACAAAAAGCCGAACTGATTTGGCGATAAAATATTATATTTAAGGAGAAAGGGCATAAGTCGAACTTTTATAAGTCTTTCAATAATTTTTGATAGTGCTGGTAACAAGGCAATAGGTCTATAGTTGCAGGCATCAGATTTTTCTCCACCTTTATGAAGAGGAATGACGATGGCAGTCTTTAGGCAGTTAGGGAATGTACCTTTTTCAAGGGAATCATTTACTAGCGAGACCATGACCTCCAAAACATTATGCGGTAGATTTGAGAAAATTTTAATAGATAATCCATCTGTACTACAGGACGATGTGCTTTTTATACTACGAATTGTTGAAATGAGTTCCGTCTTATCAACTGGTCTTAAAAGAAGGTATCAGCAATGTTTTTTTAATTAGAGAGATAGGAAACTGGATCTTGTTGTGGCGAAATAGTTGAGGTTATATTTTTACTCATATTAACAAAGTAATCATTTAGATTTTCGGGGTTAGGAAAAGAAAAGGTTTGATTCGCTGTACTGGTTTTATTTAGAAAATCGTTTATTATTGACCAAGTTTCTTTTGAAATATTTTTGGAGCTTGTTAAGCGATTATGAAAGTATGATTTTTTGGCTACTTTGAGTAGTTTTATATAGCATTTTCTGTACTTGTTGATATAATCAGAGATGGGGATACTGTCATTAAATTTTTTAATATATAGCAGAGAACTCATATTTTTCGCAGATATGCGAATGCCTTAAGTAATCCAATGTTTGATATGTTTTGGCATGATGTTTAATAGAGGAAATGCTTTATTAAAAATAGATACAAGTCTATTTAGAAAATCACTAACATTACAGTCAATGTCCCCAGAAGAAAAACTCCAGTCAGAAGTCAAGCATGAATTATAGAATTTACGAAAGTTTTGAGTAGAAAAAATCCTACCCAATCGTCGGGTTTTTGAGTGAGGTGTTTGTAAACTGCTAGACTTGGTATATACCGCTTCATGATCAGAAAGTCCCCCACTAATAACTGTAGAAT